CGGGTATAATCGCGGGTGAACGCACGAACGTCGAGAGATTAACATTTTACTCGTTGTTGTTGCTGTTGTCAGGTATACCTATCTATACCTGTGTGTAACCGCACGTTCCACCTTTCATCGCGTTTCCATTTTTTCCCCGTGTAACGGGTATAATCGCGGGTGAACGCACGAACGTCGAGAGATTAACATTTTACTCGTTGTTGTTGTTGTTGTTGCTGTTGTTGTTGAAAAGAGCCATTGGAAACTGAGGCTTTCGCGAAACGCTGAAATTTACGGCTATTAGGTATTTTCCACGGAACGAATAATGCACCGTTGAATGAAAAAAAGAGTTGGATCCGTTGCACTGTTTCGCGCGAGCGACGACGCGCGTTTTGTTAATTACACCCGGCATTCGAGAGCTTTTGCCGAACGTTCGTTGTCTGTCCGTAGCTAGATAACTGTTTCATCGAACGATACACAGGCTACGTGGAAAAGTAGCCTCGGCTTTATTACCAGGCACCTACGGTCGGAGTTGGCTGATTTCAGGAGTCGAGGAATAGATAAGAGTCGCGTGCGTTTCGAGACACGAACGACGAGGGAAATGACGCGCGAATTGAAACGATGGATCGTCGGTTCGCGCGCTGCGATTCCACAGGCAGATTCGTCCCCCAAAACGCTGGAGCGTGGCAGCGTGCCGAGAGAGTTGGCCAGCGGGATTTCCACGGAAATAATCTGCTTACGGTAATCTTCTTGGCTTGCCTCCCTCCCGGTTTAGGTCCGCCTTCCACGAGGAGGACCTTCGTCTCCTCGTCGTGTACACGCGGTGGAGAGTCCTCGACGAGAGCGGAGAACGCTTCGAATCCTAGTCCGCGACGGGTTTGCGCATCTGTCGTCGTTTCCTATTCGTTATTCGCTTCGTATAAACGGCCCACTTTCTCGCGATCGCCAAGGATCCAAGGACAACGAGGAGAGTACCCGATAGCAGAGCGAAGAAAAAGATACCGCGAGAGAACGGTATCAGGTTGGAGAACGCCGAAAGATCGAGGAAAGTCACTTGGAACGTCGAAGACCGAGAAGATCTTGTCACGTGTGATTGGTTTTAAAATGACGAGGCAGCACGTGAACGCTGACCCGGTGGAAGGAAACCTCCTCGAAATTGGCTCGGAGGAATCGCTAACAAGTTTCCAGAAAAAAATAGAAAAGAACGAAAGGGAAAGAAGAAAGGAGGCAGAGGTAGTGGATGGAAAAGAAAAAAAAGGAAGAGCTGATCCCTGCGGAGAGGAGGGTAGCGCAACCCCATTGGAATCTTTTTTTCTTTCGTCTGAGAATAAAAACTAACTATCCAAGTGAGAGAACAGCCCCCGAAGATGGGTATACATATATACATACGTACGCTATATATACCTCAGCTATACGTATAGTTGATGGCATTTCCACGGGAATTAAGTTTTCCGCTCAATGAACGCACAACAACGCCGTCCTCCGGGGCTAAATTGCATTGAATGCGACTCGGTGAAGAAACGTTTCCCCGTGACTACGCGGATGCCACCTCTTACCGAAGGTATTCAAGTACGATCCCGGTGGCAGAAGACGTTCGCGGACAGGTTTTGTTCCGTGGAAAAGCCCGCCCTCGACTTTCAAGCACCGAGCACACCGACTCCTTCTTTCTTCCCCGAGGACGATTCGTGGAAGCGTAACGAGTCCTGTCCGGTGACATCCATGACGCTTCGCTGCTTCGACACCTCGTCACGCGATCCTTCCAGATAGAAGAAGCCTTTGCGTCGCAGAGAAAGACGAAGACAGAGAGAGAGAGAGAGAGAGAGAGAGAGAGAGAGTTTGCAATAACGATCGTGGGTAGAAATAATGGGTAGTTGAAATGCATATTTGGTAAAATCGGTTAATACCCGGCAAGTACTTTCTGGCTTTTCCTGGTGCTATCAGCGCGCGGCGTTCTCCTCTTCACGCACAGACTGCACGGCGTACGGTACACGTCCATTGTGGACGCCCGTAGCGAGAGAGTGCTCTTCAGAAACAATGCGGTTGTGTGCAAACACTCCTGGAAACAATGCAGCCGGAACTTAACTTTCCGCGGTAACTCCGCTAGAGTCGCTCCTCGTGCGCGACCGAATATAACTCCGGCGCAAATTGTGCCCGCAGACTCCGCGGAAACCCCGCTATATTTCTTCCTTCGACCGCATCGTGCTGCCTCGAAATTATCGTCGAGAACCGTCCTCCGAGGAATCTGCTCTTCGTTTCCAATTCGAATTTCCCCCAACTTCTGTCCTAGAATCCCGGTTATTCCGTACCTTTTTTTTTCTCCTCTCCAAATATGCCAACGTCCGGTTTAATCGGATCGCGGTTAATTAAACGTTATCTGGACACGACGGAATTCCACTTGACGAGGCGGTAAAGACGAAAAAGAGGCGCACGTGGCTGCGTCGAATTCGCAGATGCGATCCGTGGAATTTTGCAACCCCCGGAGACGAGCGAGCACGCACGGAGTACGCAATAATGGGGATTTAACAGTCATTAGGGACAACGTGCCGGTGTATACGTCGATTGGTAACACAAAGTGTTTGCAGTAGGGCCGGACTGACGAAGGGCGAGGGTGGGGGTGGCTGGTTGCAGCGGGAGATCGATTCATCGGGGGTGGAAAAGGCAAGCTCTCCGTCTTTCTCCGACTCGCTGCCGCTTCTCCCGTGTCCCTCTTCCGCTACACCAGGGTCGTAGACTACTCGAGCACCCTCGAGGGCCAATCGAGTGGCGACTTGGGCATTTTGTCCACACTTGGCGGCCTGTAACAAGTGCATTGTCCTCTGCGCCGAACTGCACAACGATAAAGAGACTTCTGGCTACCCGCGACGTTCCACGGAGAGAGGATTCTCGAGCGCTCTCCTCTATCTCCCCCACCGTTGGACCTTGCGACTTCACCGCGGGCTTTTAATATCACCACCAGTGTAAATAAGTGTGGCAGCTTGGTAATAGAGTTGCTCTCTCTCTCTCTCTCTCTCTCTCTTCCTTTCGTGATTGAAATCGGTGTTCCGCGTGGTGTAAATTAAATGTTGGTGCCGTTGGTACTGGTGGACTGGTTACACGTGGATCTGCAAGGACGAAGATTAACGCAGGTACGAAAGAGAGGAAGTGCACGGTGGAAAAATTGAAACAGCGAGAATATTGCGGGACGATGATTGTTTGCACGTTTCTCAGCCGTGTACGTGGTACACTGGGCTTGTAACGAGTGCTTTGTGGCTAGTGTAAAGCGCAGGAGTGCACAAAGGTAGAGATTCGCGCCTGACTTACTTCACGAGGACCCTCGAAAGCAGCCGCCCTTTCTTCGCTGGCCTTCTTTTCATAGCGAGCCAAATTTTAATATAGCCAGCCGGGAAAGAGGCGTCACGGGGAAGCTCGCGCTTTATGGATTCTCTTTCATCGGGCTGAAACTTCATTTCGGTGGAAGGAGCTCGCTCGGCGAAGAACGTAATTAAACGGGAAAGTCTCATAGTTGCTATATTGTTTCGAACCACGCGTTTTCACATAGTCCGCGCGTTTTTTAGTAACGGTCTTTCCATAGAAATATGTAGCCCGTAGGGGCGCGCGTACGATGGAAAATTCGAACGTATTCGAGAGTTCAAGTTCGACAAGGGAACAATAGTTTTTGCGCGGCGATGCATGCGTGAGAAGCAGCGACTCGGAAACGTTGTACAAGTTTCGACGACGAACCCAGCGGGCCACGATACACCGCGAAAGTCAAGTGGTAAAATCGAGGGGCGAGTCGCGTGGGTGTTTCATCCATATTTGCGCGAAGGAACTTTCGCTCGAATAATCGTACGAGTACCAACCTCGAAGCACCCTTCACGTGACGTGTCGTTCCTTTCATACGAGAACCGGTGGTTGCGTTCCGGGGACCATCGAAACGGGAACAATGCTTTATTAAAGAGGGTTTATCGATGCGAAATTTCATTTCGACCAAACACTGTGCGTACCCCGTTGAAACACGATTTAGTTTTACTATTCACCGCAGAATTGCCACCGTTGCGAATAGATATTCCGCTCGCGTCCAATATGGAACATCGCGTTTGCTTTTCTCACGTGGCTGGAACTTTTAATCGTCGTTCCGTCGTTTCGCTACACCAGCCTGCGACGAATCGCCTTCTGCGTCATCCGATTGTTTTTCACCTCGCACATGTTAATTACCGGACGATTAGCTGTCTTTAATCCGAGACATATGCGAGGCGTCCGTAGGAGTGGACGTCGCCGAGGAACAATACGTTGGTTTGGGCAGACGGCGGCGCAGATGCGAGACGCCGAACGGGGACGCGATAAACGGGAAGGCAAAGAAATTAATAAGGTTGGTGGCGGAGGTGCGAGATCGAAAGAGGAGCGGAACAGGGCCGATAGACCGACGTTCTTGACTTTGTAATCGGAGAGGATAAAACGCGGCTTAGGTAAGTAGCGGCTAAACGTGAAACGGAAAGGCGTACCCCAAACGCTCCCTCGCCCCCCTTTTTCGACGTTCCTTCTCGAAAACCGAGAACGCGGACGACGCGTTTTCGGAATTAGTCGTCGACCACGAGGCCGAGCAGAGTTGAGGGAGCCGGGGAGTCGTGTTGCATCTTCCACGGATTATCCGGCGTAGCCAGCTGCCAACCGTCTCGCTCTTATTTCCATCTTCCGCGACAGCTTTCGATATTCGTACAGAGTGCCCGTACAGGGCAACCTTTCATTATCCATCACTTCCGTTTCGTGCTAGCGGTTGCTCTGCCGATCAAATTACCCTTCTACTCGATCATCGGTAACTCGCTAATTATTTCCGTTTGGAATCGCGCTAAAGGCGCGACGACCAAGTATCGAGGCGCGAGCAATTGACGAACCGAGTTTTGATTTCAGACGCAGCGGGTAATTCGGAGGAGCAGAGGAGGTTCGCGTAGAGTCGGCCGCGCGGCGGGGGGGTGGTCGGCCACCGATCTCGGGGGCCTCGCCGCCTCCACCACCTCGGCCTCCGATCTGTTCGGGCCCGGTGCGTTCGGCGCGTCCGCCGCCGGGCCCTACGGCGCCCTCAAGCCCAACCCTTACGTCAGCGCCCTTGGCATGCCACCGATCGAGGCCCTGCACTCCACCATTGGCTACCCGGGTTGTACTCCCGCGGGTGAGTCCTACTACTGTGAGTGCCCCTACTTTTTATATACTACTTACTTCCTACCTACGCTCTCAAACTTTTCTCCGCCGAGACGATTGTTCTCTATCGAGGATGATTCGTTGTACGAGAGTTGCGATGCTTTGTCGTTGAAGGTAATCCGAGGAAGCAGAGGCGGGAAAGAACGACGTTTACCAGGGCACAGTTGGACGTATTGGAGGCACTATTCTCCAAGACCAAGTATCCGGATATTTTTATGCGGGAGGAAGTGGCGATGAAGATCAACCTTCCCGAGTCGAGAGTGCAGGTATGTCGCGTGGAAGTTCTATAGAAGCGCAAGGACGTTGGTTTCCGCGGGCGACGAAACGATACCTACAGGGGTACGACGGGAAGGTGTCTCGTTTCCGAGGGGTAGTAGTGTCGGCATGCAGATACGGCCCGTAGACACCATCGATTTACACTCGGTGCTCGTGTTTCCTGGATAGTGGGTGTTAACCGAGTTAGTAGTTCACCCCGTAAGTGAAAAATTCCAAGAGAAAAGGAAAACTGCCGCGATCGGAAACGGTCGGAACGGTGCTGGAATCGTTGATTTGCGACGTTGTCACGAACGACTTCGTGTCGGTCGAATCGACTTTCGAAGCCGCCAGCACCCGAAAACGTGTCCATGCATATTCCACCCTCATCACGAGCGAAAAGAGCGCGTCGCATCCGCAATTGCAGGCCGAACGCACCTGGTCCCAGCCTCGTAAATGAATTGAATGGCTCCAACCGGACTCATAGTCTTCTGCACGTTCGTCGCCGACTACAAACCGGAGCTCTCTACTCCCAGCCTCGTGTTTTCTGACCCCTGCGCCGCTTTTCAATCGGACGTAACCGGTCAACGCGATCCAGCCTCCTGCCGACATCGACACATCGCAAATCTACCTAACCTTTTCACCATTTATCTTCTTCCTTCCCGAACGTTTACCGTAGTAGCCAGTGTCGAGCCGTGTTTCAAAGGCGTCGCGAAATAGCGAAATTCCACGACAGGGTTAAACACGGTGAATTCGTAGAGAGTGGAGTACGTAGAGGAATAGGTGTACACCGGGGAGAGCAGCTTCGGTGGAAGAACGCGGGTTGCCCGTGTCGTTCCCCAGAAAATCCGTAGAAACCCAAGCTCACCTCTCCGCTTCTAACATTGATCGCGCAGGGCTTCTCTAGGCTCCTCTCTTTCTCTCCTTCTCTCCCTCTCCTCCTTGCCCTCGCCTCTCTGCCTCCTCCACACCCCTAGCACTCCTCGCTCGCTCGCTCTCTCGCTCTCTCGCTCTCTCTTTACTCTCTGTCTCCGTTCTTCCAGCCGTTTCGTTCACTAGTGTCCTTCTCTAGAGGTCGTTCTCGCGTTCTGGAAATCTAGCAGGGCGAACGACGTGGATCGAAGGACGTGCCGAGTCTGCCGGATACTTGGCGAAAGTTTCAACTTTGATCAACCCCCGAACGAACGTTTCGTCGTCTGAAAAACAATTACCCCTTTCGTTGTTACCTGTCGCTTTCGTGTTCACACGGTTGTTGGGGGAATTGTTGGTCGCACGCGTGCCGTATCGCGCAGTCGGAACGAAAAATCACAGGTTCGCGAAATTATTCCATTAAGGGAAGTTTACTCGCCGGTCGACCTGTTTGCTTTTCCGTCATTTCGTCGCATAGACTGCACAGCACGAACGCGAACGATGCGCGCAGGTTTCCGCTCGCGTTACCGAAGCCGGCTTCATTGGTAATTGATAGTTGCGTCGGTGCTGCATTCCCTTATAATTGGCTATTACGACAGCTTTACGAAAGCTCTGTACACCATTCTGTGCTCGTTTCCCATCCGATCTCTGCCTCGTCGCGTTTCGACACAGAAATATCAATTGAAAGCTGCTCGCGGTGATTCGTAACAAAAATAAAGAGGCAACATTCGCCGATTCTCGAAACACAACGCGGGGAGAAGCTTCCAATTATTTATTTTTCCCAGATTAAAAATATCCCCGTGTTCGTACCAGCGTCCCCGCGAGTCCCTTTAAACCTCGACACACTTGCAGATACAAATTACACGTGCCGTAGGTGTGGTTCAAAAATCGCAGAGCCAAGTGCAGACAACAGCAGAAGCAGCAGCAACAACAACAGGACAAAGCTCCGAGGTCGAAGAAACCCTCGGGGAATCCGACCAACAATCCGCCCTCTGGAAAAAGTCCTTCGATTGCTACCACGCCCACGCCTGCTGCCGTGGTGCCTGCCACAACACCCCTGTAAATATCGCTTACATTAACACCTACTTTTCTGGGATCAAGCTCCAATTACACTCTGCCATTTTCACCTCGTTCAAAGAGACAGGGAAGCTTGGACGTGAATGGACCGATTCGAACGACTGATCGAACGGTGACAATTTAAACAATCAACCACCGACTGCGTGCACGTCCCACTTGTACAGCTACTATACACGATAACTCGTTCACTGTCACGTTGCTCACCTGTGACAGGTGATTGTTTCCTCGATGGGGCCGTGGTGGTTAAAAAATTAAAATAAAACAGCTAAAATAAAATAGCTAACTAGACATTCTGTTGAATTTCAAAAAAGAAATATAACCTTACGCTTAGAATAATAAACATTTTCTTGTCGCCCCCTGAGAGCAACATGTCAATCTGACGTGGCAGTCGGCAATAATCAATTGACCTCTAACTAATTCATCAATCGATACTAAATAATTGACCTCTGAAAAAAAAAAAGACAGCGCGATCGTCGGCGTAACATCTGTTTTCTATAGTTAGAAACTTGTGTCCGTAGAAGCGGAGGTACAGCTGGTTCAGCGGCCAGTTCACCGGCGCTCCTGAGGGACTCTCCCCAGTACAAGCCAGCAGGCAGTGGGACCAGTTTACTCTTGGCAGCCAGTACAACTCCGCCAAGCGTAAGTTACCGACCCCACGAAAAAGCTTTACCCTCGGTGGATAAGGGTCTGAGCAGAGAATATTGATGGGTTTTCGCAGTTAGGGGGAACGGTGTACAGTAGTGGCGGCAGTAGCAGTAGTATCTGGAGTCCAGCTGTGACGGAGAGCGGCGGAGGATTCCCCGGTGACCATCAGAGGTTAGCATGGACAACAACCGCGTCTCAGCAGCAGTGCTACCAAAATTACTCGTCTTACTACACCAACATGGATTATCTCTCGCCTGCCACGCATCAGTTGAACGTTGTGGTAAGCCTGCGCGCTCTTTTCAAATTTTCCGCCGTCGTCTTGCAACGAGAGCGATGAAAACGAAGGAGTATTTTTTTTCAGGACGGCGGAGGAAGCGGTTTAGACAACACATGGAGCAAAACGAGAGACGAGAGTGCTTCGTCCTGGTTTTACAATAGCGCCGGTTGGGGCGACCGGAAGTGAATTGCAGAGGCGCCGAGTACGCGAAGGCTTTGGTACATATCATCGAGAGTAGCTAAGCGGAGGACTATGGAGATCGATGGCAGTTGTTGTTAATAAGAGAGACACGGCCAAAGACAGTCCTCTTTACGCTAGACATATCGTTAAATCGCGACCGCCAGGCCTCGACACGTTACCGTGTGACTCGTGAGTGCCATATTCGTTTCCTCCTGTGTTCCACGAAGTTCAATTTCTCCCCGCGTACTGATTTGTCTCGATACGATCGACGAAACAGCTGATCGCGATCAAGCGTGGAAAAGGATGGAATACCGAGAGAGAGAGAGAGACAGATTCGTGTCGAAGAGTAAGTCGTTCGCGATCAGCTGTTTCACCCACCCAACGTGTTTACTTTCCGTTCCTTCCTCTTCGTTGAAACGTGCAATTTCCTGATAATTATCACGATCTCCCCACCCCTTCGATATTCGTTCCCACTCATTGCTACACTAGTCATTCAGGGATAAGAAAGATCGACGAAAATAATATTTTAAACGGAGAAAAGTATATTTGGGAGTGGAACGATTGTTTCGTCTTTCCTTCTCGCGTAAAGTCAGTGTTACATGTGATACCGTTTCTATGTGAGAATGCATCATGAACGTTCGCCGCTGCGCGAGCCACGAATTTTGTAATTATTCCACCGCGGCGAGGATAATCTCGCTCGCTAAAATGGACTCAGTATAGAGAAGAAAGAAATCTCCGATGTACATATATAATATAAATAGCCTTGCGTCATTCAGAGGAATCAACGTAGTTAGGTCGGAATTTGCAGGAAGCGACGAGAGAAGAAAAGAAATAGACCCTTCGTTACCTTCGTTAAGGATTTCTCGAGCAAAAGTTACGTACGTATATCCGTCTGCACACGGTGTATACTGTGTACATAAGTTATATATAAATATACGAGGACACGCTGATCGTCTGTGTACATATGTACCATTTTTCCGAAAGATAATTCCGAACTTGTAGGATACTCGAACAAGCGGTCATCATTATTCGAAGGTTACTATTATTTTTCATTTCGCGACGTACACATATATATATATCCGTTTGATTCGTCGTTGCGGGGTTCGGTCCTATCGACGTTCAACCGTTTACGTTTTGTACATGAAACAATTGGAGGATTCACGGAGTGAGTGCCGGTCGAGATTTACGTTTACGATCTT